TTCTGCAAAAAAAAAAAAAAAAAAAAAACCGGGCTTCCAGCTTTTTCTTTTCCTCACAGGAGGTTAGATTCAAAAATCGTTTAAAACGATCCACAAGTTCCATCGCATTTAGTAAAAGTTTACAAATTATATATCCTCTTATATTCTTAGTTTAATAAATAATTTTTCGTTATATTTCTATGATGAACTTTATGGGCGACGCTTTACATGCGTGCATGCATAGCATGTTGTGTTTACACTATTGTTGTCTATGTTAAAAATAATAAAAAAGAAGCAAATTGGGGAAATTCTTTCTAACGAAGGCCAACAACGCGCTAAGCATATGCAAACAGATTAAAATGATCCCTTGGTTATCGAGGCATCAACTTTTTCTCATCTCGTTCGCATTTATGCCCAAGAGAGCTCGGCAGCCCAGCTACGAAACGAATTTTCAAAAATTTAAATAAAAAAAAAAACAAAAAAAACATAAAGAGAAAGAAAGCAATTCAGAAGACAACTCATTTACGAAGAAGTATATTTTTCAAAAAAATTCTTTCAAGCTACAAAAACTATGGAAAATAATTTTTTTTTTATTTTTTTTAAATTTTTTATTACCTTCATTAAGTGAACCACGATTGACCAACATTGTACAAGCTGCAGGAGCATTTAGGAGAAATTTATTTTAACTTCTTTAATTTCTTTCCGCTCTTTCCTTAACAAAATAATAATCATAACCATAAAAAAAAATATAAAAAAATCTGCTTCTTTCTGCTTCAATTATTATTTTACATATATAAATTCACTACTATTCATTTCTTTGGAAAATTATTCTTTCTGTTAAATGCGTAGCACGCCATTGCTTCAAACAATAAAACGCATATGCACTTAATGTGAGAGTGCGTGTATGCGCATATATAAATGATGTTGTAATTTATATATATATATTATATATATAATATATATATATATATAATTTTTGTAAACGGCAAGAAAATTCAACGCGTTGACCACAGAAAACACATTAAATTTGGTGTAAAATGCATTGAGCAAAATTTTATAGAAAATTAAAAAAGAAAAAAAAGAAAAAAACGTTCCCAGATAAAAATAATACACAACGTAAAAATTATAGACGCGCGCGTCAAGCGTTGCTCTTCTTTTTCAATCGTCACAAATTATAAAACTGAATAAAAATTTTTATTTTAAAAGGAAAACACATAAGAGCAACAACAAATATCATATATAGTGTGTGTTCAGGAAAAAAGCAAAAGCAAGCAAGTGCTGCTGTCATGCTAGGCGTTGTGCCGTTATTATATTGGGGAAAAACAAGAGCGCTGCAAAGAAAAAACAACCGTAAGATAGAAAAACAGTTCAAATTTAAACTTATTTAAGAAAATGTATACATATGTACACCTATCTACACACACACACACACACACACAAACACACACACACACACACACAAAACGATAACAATTCGAAATATACAAAAGTTGTTCAAAAACTAAGAAGACAATATTGAGATCCTATGTTGGGCATGTTGAAAGAGAGCATAGCACGTACATCGTACGTGAGAGAGCCGATGCAATAATATACGAATTTTGAACTCCTACCCCTAGAGTAGAAACATTTTTAACAACGAAGGTGTATGAAATGTTTTTTTGCACTTTTCTTGTAGATCGGACAGACAGACTGGATTAGATTCATGAGCAATTTATTTATAATCGAACTCATATTGTTGATGAAGAACAACATTTGAAATAGTTTTCGATTTTTTTTTTTTTTTTTGTCGAAAATGATTTGTTTTTGTTTTTTCTTTTTTTTTCGTTTTTTTTTTCTTTTCATTCACTTCACTTGTAGAGTCGAAAAGATAGTGTCAAGCAATCCTAATAACCCTATAACATGGGCAGGCGCATTCGCATTAATTGGTGGCGCCCGTTTGTTGCAAGTTATTTTTCAAAATAATATAACTTAATGATTGATATAAAGAAACCAATGACATGCATAACATAACATATGCGACAAGAACACGAGCACACGCGCGCGCTAGGGGTACCATCCACAGAAATGCAAACAAGCGCAATTTGATTATTAAGAAAATAGAAAAACGAAAGCACAAAAAAAATTATTACGCTTCCGTTTCTCCCCCCAATAGGGTAGGTAGGTAAAGCGCAACAACAAAATTAAACACTTAACGCAATTATTAATTAAAATAAAAATAGCTAAACACGATAGCGAAGCAAGTAAGCTAATGATAAACATTGATGGATTGATTGTTTTTTTTTTTTTTTTTTTTTTTTTCAAAAATTTAAAAGGGAGAAGAAAAAATTTACCAAAGTAAATAAAATAAATTAGGGCGAAGAGAGGAACGACAGGCAGGCAGGCAGGCAGGCAGGCAGGCAGTTGAAGAAGGTAAAGAATACTCTGAAAACGTTCGTAGTATAATAAGGTAGTGGCCGTTTTCAAGCACAAATCATCAACTTATTTTTTGCCATATTAAAAAACGTGATGAAGTGATTAATTAATAATAGTTTATAATGAAAAACAAGTGAAAGCGTATCTCAATCTAATTTTAACGACGGTAAACAACACAAACACTTTGTGAAATTGCGGTTAAAACGATATGAAAAAATCTTGCTATATATTAACTATCAAAAATTTGTAAAGGCTTTCTTTTTCGCTTCTTCTAGCGAGCTACACATTAGCATTTCTTGCGCAGGTAAAATCATGCGCATCACTGCAGACATACCAGCCGCTTATTAAACTGATACAAGGATTTGCATATAAAATGGGCATAATTGGACGCAGACGACACATAGTCGAAAATATTTTCTCTTTTTTTTTTTCTCTCTTCCAAGATCGATAACATCATCCTATCTTTGTATGTAGTAGGCCCCTCACAACAATATAGAACAAAATTGAGACAAGCTCGAAGAAAAGAAAAAAAAAAAAACACCAATAATTGTTCATAATTCGAAAATACCCATATGTGTTCCCTACAATCAATCAGCTGCGTTGCATGTTCGATTCAAAAATAGTTGAGATCGATTTACTACTTAACACATACGATCGATTTTTAATGCTTCCGTCAAATTTCAGTTTCCTATCCATTGTTTTTTGCGAATGCGATGCTCGTCGAAATGATTTCTTTTGCTTGAAATAGGTATAGGGATAGCATTGTTGTTAATAAGAAATGTTCTCGCTTAGTTATGTCCGTTTTTTGAACGCGATACATGATTAAGAAAAATAAGGTAGATAGATACATACATTCGCCCTATATAATATTCAAAATCCTTTTAACAATCAATTTGTACAATTTGTATGTGTATATGTAATTACGCTTTATAAAATTTTCCTAAAATATATTTAAAAAAAAAAAAAAAAAACAATTGCATTCCAGAGTAATTAGTATTTGCAATTTTTTTTTTTTTTTTTTTTTTTTTTAAATCTATTGAAATGCTTAGAAAAACAATTCGCAAATAGAAACACTTGCGTTAGTATTCGAGATGGTATTTAAATAAAATTGCATGCAATTAAAGTTGTAAAGATTGTTACAAAATTCCAATAAGAAAGTTCGACTAGACAAAGCTCAGCTTAAATAAATGTTCTGAGACGCCCAGTATTTGATTGTTTCTACTCGATTCTATTATAATTGAAGTCGTTTCAGAAATTAAAGCAATTCTATCCCATAAATATTATATATTAGTATACGGTTCGGTAGTCACGGAATGATATACCAACCGTAGGTATTTGCTAATTGTAGGGAAGCGTACTTATGCATCGATTTTATAGCTAATGTGATTTAAAGTCAACGTGACGGACTACAAAATAAATTACGTTTGTAGTTACGTTTGATTTGTAACGATCTTTTCACGCCACCGCGCGTGCGAACAAAGCGATTTATATGCGGCTTTTAATTGCAAGATTGAATGAAAATCAATTTAGTTTATATATATATATATATGATAACAATATATGCAACATTTGATGAACGTACCAGCATATTTACATAGCGTTTCTTACGCATCCATAGACCGCCTTTAATAACTTTTCACTAAGTTGGAAGAAATTTGACGTTGAAACCCGTGAGAGTACAACAGCCAGACGAGACACAGACATTGATTGAGAACATATGTCTGTCGTACGCAGATAAGTACCCAGAAAAAAAATTGCTACACTTCCTTCATCCATCGAAGAAGATCGATATAAAAAAAAAAAAAAAAAAAAAAAAAAAAAAAATTAACAATACTTTCGCTCTTCATGTCACCCCACCATCATATGCCCTCTCCCCCTTCATTAAATTTATTGATCTAAAAAGCGAAAGTATATAGTTAAGCAGCTGTAATAAAGGGTCAATGGAAACCTCAAAAGTAGGCAATGGTATATTGCCTTAGTATAAATTAAGGCCAGCGATTCGTTTGCGTGGCTTGTCTACCATCGTCAAATTGTTTATGTGTCTTTGTTTGTCACGTTTTTACATATTTACGATTATAGCAGAAAATTTGATTTGATTTGATTTGATTTGATTTGATCTACTTACTGCTTGTTTTAACGCCTCCTAATACTAAATTCGGTGACGGCTTGTTGCCCTCAGCAAATGAGGTTGTCCTTGCACGCCCACTCATATCGTCGTCCGCGTCCTCAGTTCCAACTACTGTTCCTTTCGCTTTCGCTTCTGTTGCTTTCAACGGCTTATCAACACTGAAAGCCTGTGTGTCCGCCGTGTTTGCGGTTTATTTCTAATTAAGACCCAAAACGAATAAAATTCAATAATTCCGCACGTGCAAAATATGGCTGGCGAATACAATCTCAATATAAATTAATTTATTAACCGTTGCTGTTCAACTCCTTTGTGGCGTAAAATATTATATATAATGATCCACAACGATATTTGAATTTTTTATATATAAAAATATTTGTCGGTATTTCGTTTTTCTTCTTTCCTTTCAAAGTTTTTTTTTTTTGCGGACGTTTTTAGTTGTTACTATTGTTGTTGTTGTTGTTGTTGTTGTTTTTGGTTTTGGTGTTGTTATTATTACTATTACGGCTTTTGATTGAAAATAAGTTTATCAAAGATGCTTTCCACTTGTTTTGCCTGTAGTGCTGCTGATAATAAATTCTCCAGCTTAACTACCGCCAGCATTCAATAAGAAAATACACAAACAAAAATAAAATGGATTTTCTTGCTCCCGAGAGCAAACTGGAAAAAAATTAAAAGAAAAAAATAAAAAAAATTTTTTAAAAATGATATTCAAATTACTTACTCTCTATATTCCTTTTCATAAAAAATAAAAACAATTTTTAAACAAAAATATGAAAGAAAGTAAGGCAAGCGCAAAGAAGCAATACTCGGACGTAATTTCTGATTTGATGTCGTGTGTCTTGTCACTTGTGCAACAGGTACTCAAAAACTTATATATCGTCCCGTCTATCAATTACTGGCTTTAAAATTTCCAAAATGTGGGGAAAGCATGGCTTGATCAACTCATTGCAATATTATATATTATGCGTATTTCTAGTCATTACATAAATGGAACAACAAATCATCTTAGGATGCAAGGTATAATAATCTATTTAATGCATGAGGTAAACAAACTAAATGAACATCAGAAATAAGTTATGTTCGGACTTTGCCAAATGGCTAGCCGGAGTACGACATGTGATTACAAGATATTGCGAACATTCATTCAATCGTATATCATGTATATACGATGTTTCTTATATATATATATGTCTTATGTTCTATATCTCGTATATGCCATAAACCTTATGTTATGATATTAAAAAATCATACTTATCATTGATGGACCCTTGGGACTTTGGGACCCTGGGGCAGATTTTCAAATTTAATTTGACAGCAGTGATAAGAAAGGGTAAACTTATTCCCCTAAGTATTCAAGCCGCAATCTTTATTTCAACATTTTGGCAGAGAGGTCCAAATCTATTCCGATATTCAAGAGTGTTTTATATGTATATATATCTTAACATCAACGACACTAATTCCTATGCATTTGCAAGCATATTGAATTTTACATATTCCCTATGGCAGCTAGTACAAGTAAAGATCTTGGATTCTCATTGAGGTGTCGTTTAGACAAGAATATGGATGTCAGTCGTCTTTGTGGTACAAACCGAAGTCATCAAATCGTTTGGTCAGTTGCAAGCATTTTTTGATGAAATTTTTAGATTCAAGCCTGGCTTCAAGATGGCTATATATATATAGATGTGTGTACGTGCATACATATATATATATATATATATATATATATGCAGATTTTTGTGTTTTATTACTTACGTCAGAATCTCGAAAAAATATTTGGTTTTGCCTCCCTTTCCCTCTCTCTATCGTTCGTTTTCTTTAATTTTGTTAAAATATTTTAAATTCTTTTCAAATAATTGCACAAAATTCTGGTTTTTGCTTTTCCCTCTTGTTTGAAAAACCGTTCTCTTGGAGAAGACATATATTAGGTGGAGAGAGAGAGAGAGAGAGAAGTTGTGCTACTGTTGTAATCGTTGTTACGAAAATTAAATCGAAGTAAAACAAGTCTTGCTTGCTTTTTCTTGACGATATTTTGGCTGTAGTTACTCTGCAGGATGTCTTTTCTTTTTCGCCTTTTTCTTTTTTCTTTTTTTTCTATTTTATCAAATATTTACATATTTTGTTGAATTAATGTGTTCACTTATTTCCAATAGTATAACATAACGATCAACGAATGTGCGGCGTAGCTTGTTCCGTTCAGTCGATGATGATTCTCAAAATCAATTAAAAATGGGAAAATAAGAAAAACGAAGAAAATGCAACAAATTTTACAAATCTGTAAAAAACACAAAGAGAAATCAAATTAATTATTAATAAATCAATAATAAAAAAAAATTAATAAATAAATAAAAATAACTAAATAAATCAAATAATCTTTTATATAATTTTTATTAGTTTTTTTTTTTTTTTTTTTTTTTTTTTTAAAGTTATTAATTAATTGTTATTATAAAACAATACTTTTTCGTTGTGCCGCAATAAATTGAAATTCGCATTCAAACGCACACATTTTCATAACATGGTCTTAGCTACTAAAAAAAAAAAAAAAAAAAAATTTCTCTCACAATTTGAACGATAATTTTCATTTACTTTTCGGATGAGACACTTGCTTGCTTGCCTGCTTGCTTGCTGCTGTCCGCCTTTTGGTTTGATTTAATTTCAATTAGCAACAACAAATACACGTTGTCATCATATCCTTTTTTTTATTTTTTTATTTTATTTTTTTTTTTTGTTAGCGTTAATTAAAACAAGGTCTCTTTTCTGTGGAATACTTTTAGGCGATTTGCATAAATAATGGGATAGTTGACTTCACTGTACTGACAAGCTTTTTGTCTCGCATTACGTGTTCAAAGGCACAGCACAGCTATTCTGCTTTGTGTTTTCAATTTGACCTTATTATTGATTTTATCTTTGCTGCGACGACTTGCAACCAAACAAAAAGTAAGGAAAAAGTAAGAAGTAAGTTATGTTAAAAGCACGTCTTGAAAATTTAAACTTTCTTAATCAGAATGCATACATACAAATATAAAAAACGAATTGCTCAAATTTTCGAGATATCAATATATTACCTACGCGCTCGTCTATGTTTAATTAATCGCATGAGATCACCAGAAAACCGCCTCACTCTATTGGCACTTCGCCTAGTAATAAAAGCATATAAAGATTTTTAAGATTTCACTCGTCGCATGTTAGAAAACAAAGGCGCTTTATGAAAGTCGTGATTAATTAAAGAGACTAAATATAATTCACATTCAAGGATTAGCAAAAGCTAATGCGGACAAAATGCGGTATTCATTACGCCTTACCACATGTAAAGATAGAGCGGCATTGTCGGAATCTTCAAAAGAGTAACTAGTAAAAACTAGTAAAAAAGGGACTTGTGATCCGTTATCTGTTATCGCTAAAAATAGTAGGGCTGTTAATTAACAGCCGGACAGGAATTTTGCTGAAATGTTACAATGTATGACGATTTTACAAAGCGTAGGCACCTAGATCTCGATGCCGCTATGGTACAAGTGCTTGCAAGTGCGTATGTACGAAAAAAGGCCAAAAAAAAAAACCAGGTACGTAACCAATATAACTTGATTTCCTTTTATCCTTCATTACGTATTGAAGCATATTAAAGTTCATGTTCGCCAAATATTTGAATAAGTTTCAATAAAAGAAAATATTCTATGAAGGAAGCATGAAAACATTTTTTTTTTGATTAAAGCAAGTAAAAGCAATATATCATGGTTCGTAGCCACGTCATTAAATACCCTACAACTTCCTGCAGACACACTCATAAGACGCTCATTGGATTGACTGAGGTGCTGTGAAATTTTGACTCTCGCAGTTTCTGCAAATAAGTTCCTTACGTATAATGGTTTTTTTTTTTTTTTTTTTTTTTTTTTTAAATTTCGTAGCGTATACTTACGCTGTTGAAAATCTCCAACTATTTTACGAAACACTAACGATAACACATAAAATAAAAGGGAAAGGGAAAATTTACATAAGAATACATAAGCTGTAAACCATCTTGATGTCCTGTTACCAGTAGCAGTGTAAGTCGATTATATTGCCATGACCTTTTGCCACTTAATGTCTTCGATATATGTTCATCGAAAATTTAAGGCAATCTTCTGTTATCGGTAAGGTAGGGGGGTTAGACAAACCTACTTCCTTGCGGTATATTCCGAGTATTCCTCTTGTCAAGAAAACAAAGACAAAGAAAAGAAAAACGATTCGCAAAGAGGATAATGAACGAAGTGTATCTTTATCTTTTCGGCATATTTAACACACATATATATCGACAATGTATATCTTTCATTTCCCAATATATGATCATTTAATTATGTCCCTCTTGATAGATATTTTACGAAAATTTGAACATGAATTCCTGCGTTCACGCAAACGGTGTCTCTCTTATGCAAGGGATACATACAAAGAAGAAGAAATGCGAACATGCGAACGACACACTGGCTACTAAGTGAGCATCAATTCACTTAATATACATACACGAAACGGGTAACAGCCTGCGTCAAATTACCTGAAATGAGCAGAAATGCAAATTTTCTGGGCTTTGTCTTGCAAAGTTTTCGTAAACTCTTTTTCCCATTGCCCTTTGATTATACTAGAGTGCTTTAGCTTATACTATTATTATTATTATGGGAAGTTTGAAAGAAGAAAAGTGAGAAATATCGGTTATTGTTTTAAGTAAAATCATGCCCACCCCCACATACTTTGGTTATTTTAAGTAAGGGAGCAGTAGCGAAACCTTTATAAGAATTGATTAGTCAGTCATAAGAAAGCGACCATTTTATCATTTCAGATAAACACCGAATATCTGCACTACGTGCACATACAAATATGCAGGGTAGGGACAGTTTTTAGTAATGAACTAATCAATTATTTCTTCTTCTTCTCTCTCTACATTATTTAATACTCATCTGCAATGAAAGAAGAAGCATCCACATACTTAAAACAGATCATTTTTTTTATATTTTTTTTTATGATCTATGGATCATCGTATCGCAGTTTATCGTAACAAGTTCTTATCATACGCTGGCGTAAGCATTGCGGTGTTAAACATCATCTACCCATCAAGATTGTAATTGTGCAGAAAATCGAACAATTAATTAGAACAGAATTAGAAATTATCATTTATCGTGTATGAAGAGCAAACACACACTAATAAAATGCTTCATTTTTACTTTAATAATATGTACATAGCATATATATATATGGGTAATTTTATACTACATACATACATATATATATATATATATGTATGTATAATCAATACTATAGAACATACGCATATACACGTCGTCTTTGACAATGACACGATTCCAATGCGGGAAATATAATTGCATTGTTGTTATCCTTGCTTTTTTTAACCCAAACAAGGATTGTTTTCTCAACCTATTTACCACAATTTCATTATACATATAATCATTTATTTAAATATATATGAGCTACACTCGTAAAACTTAAATGGGAGAGCTACAACGGCCAGGCTAAGAGAGAAAATATAATTTAAGAGAGACAAAATGTGTTTTCTTTTCTTTTGTTTTTTTTTCTTTTTTTTAATATACAAATATAGATATATATATATAACGGCTTTAAAAGGATAAGAGGCTATGAAAGAAGGCACCCCCCCCCCCTCCCGCTCCCCCACCCCACCCCACTGCACCCTTGCCCTAAAAAAACCATTCAAATTCAGAGAGCATAAACTAGATACGGCAGCAAAAAAAAAAAAAAAAAAAAAAAAAAAAAAAAAAAAACTAAGACTCAAACTATGCGTAGAAATAAATGAAAAATGGAATAGAATGAAATAAATCGGAGATAACTGAATGTGAATATCATTATCCGCATAGCGAAGGTATATGAAATAATGCTATGTAATATTTATATACAACAATTTCGCTGAACTTAACGGCATTTTAGGGATAATTGCAAAAACTGTGAAACACTCAAAAATCAAAAATTCTTTATCTTGTATATACTTATCCGAATGATCAGATAAATTTGATTCGAGTTGTGTAGATTTGAGCATTGTAGGCAAATACACATTGGCATTGTGCTTAAAAACGCCTATTTTGATCAATGTGGATACACTACGAATGAAGTTATTATTATTATATTAATTATACACCGGCATTGTATTTATTTTATTTATTTATTTTTTTTTATTTAAAAAGTAAACCCACAATTACAATTAGGATGAACGATAAGTCATAAGTTACTATCTATTTGCATTAATAAATGTCCCTTGCAGAATAATACATTAATATAATCGATTTTTAATACCGCTACGATGATGACCTTAATGAACTATGAAATATATCACATGGAATTAAATGATTAATCGGGTTCAGCCACTAACCGATTATCTTTAGAAAATCTCGCTTTCATTACAGTATATCAATACAAAGGATAAAGGATGTGTATAACTTCATAAAATCAGGACTTCGAGATTACAATCACATTGGAAGCACCCTGATGCGAATCATAGCAGAGACTAGTCAATCTTCGTTTATCACAATCATACATTGTTAGAAGTGCTATAGAACGCCGTAAAGCGGCACTTGTCAACAATTGATTAGATATCCGCTGTCAAAGGAGCCGACATCTTTACCGTGCTAATTAAAAATAGATGATAGCCTGTCAGCACCAGTTTCATACAAACTTAAAGAAGTGAAGGTTGTCATGAAAATACTCCGGAGTACGGGGAGAAAAATTATCTTATGGATGAATATAAAATTTCTAACCTTTAAATAGATCGGAAAATTGTTATCTAAAATAAATTGAAAAGTACAACGATATCATCCTAACCCGCCCTATTTGCGTTTGCCGTAAACATATATCGCCCACCTATTTACCGTAGCTCGGTTGCTTCTATAGAGGCATACTCAGGGATCTCCCTCCATATATATAGCGGAATCTTACTCTAATTTCAAAAGAACACAAAGGATGACGAAAGCGTAGATTACCTTAAAATATTGTGTATTTTCCTTAGTCTAGGGTTTATGCGATCATCTGCTGTCAGAATCGAGTTGACTTCAAATCCAATAGTTGTCACTAAATTGACAATGCCAATCGGCGCACCTACCAGCAAAACATTGCGGCGAATTAATATAAAACTTGTTAATTGTGTTTACCGGTGACTCTAATTTTGGTTGAATTTAACTATGAATTATTTATACCAGATCTATGTACAATTTTTAATAATACACAAATGAATATTGCAGCTTGGATAGCAAGTCGCTAAATCATTTATGAATATATTAAACAAAA